CCATGAAATATTCTGGCGGCCCTTGCGTCGTAATCCTGCTGAACGAATAAGAGCGCCGTCGCGGCCGGGGGGCATTGCTTTGCCTTCCTTGCGTCGCCTATTTGCGGCTCGGACCCAGATGCATCCAGATGTCTGAAAAAATGTGCGAGTGCTGCACAGGTCGTTTTCGTGTCTCAGCTTAGGAGCCGTGCCGGGGTAGCTTGTGCAGGTGTTGCCGCGGCTGCAGTGCATGCTCCCCCCCTTCCTCTTTGCCCTCACTCTGTGGTGTATCTGTGTCCTGTGCAGGCGTTCTGCATGAGTTTCGGCTTGAGTGAGGTACATTCGAGCAAGTCTGGGAGGGACCCAGGCGGCGAGAGGCCGCAGCCTGAGTGACAGGCGGGTGGGCTGCATGTCGCAAGCTCTGGTCCCGAGAGACGGGGCGGATTTCAAAGCCTCTCTGGACACCCTGGCCCTCAACTTTTCCTTGGCACCGGAGATCCAGGCTCGTCTTCTTGCGGAGGGTCTGAGTCACCTGGAGGAGCTTCGCTTTTTCTTCGACAATGAGGAACATGTGGGGCGATGGGTAGCGAAGCTGGGCCTGGGTGATAAGACGATGCTGGAGACCTCTCGCCTCCGGCGGGCCTGGGCGGCGGTAAGACTCTACTTCTCGACGTCTGAGCAAAACCGCTCTAAGGTGGCCCTGAATTGCGTGATGTGAAGCAGGCCTTTTGGAAGCGATACCGCCAACGCTTCCCGGCTGAGGTCCACCCGGCAGATTCCCTGCTTTCCCGGGTCTCCCGAGAACTTTCCAAGCGCATGCTTTGTGTGTTTGCTATCTGGAAGGTCCGTTCTCTCTACTTTCAGCTCACGACCGTGCAGCGCAAGCGCAAGTTGGGTGATAACCTGTATACTGAGGAAGCCGAGACTGAGGAGGCGATTGCCAAGGACGCGGATACCTACCTGGATAAGCTTTACACGTTGTTGTTGGCTTATTCGATGGCGGGAGTGCACCCGCTGCCAGGTACGGATCCTGCTAAGGAAGTCTCCCTTAGCGCTTCTTCTGTGGAGTTTGTGGGGGTGCCGCTTGATGTGGCCATGGCTTATTATTTCCGAGCCAAGAAGTGTGTTGCCGCATTGGCGCCCTCGCGGCGTCTCCAATGGTTGCAGGCTAAAGATGTTGAGGAGCGTAGCGAGTGGGTTACCCGCTTTCGTCAGGGTACTTCTTCGTTGGGAGTCGTCATCAAGCAGGTCATGGAGGCACGTGACGCACATTGGGTGGTCACGAGTCCAGCGGCAGCTAGTGGGGCTGGGGAGCAGCAGGCCACCGGAGGGACCGGCCAGGCCGCGCCGCCGCCGCCGCCGCAGATTTCCCACTTCAGGGAGGGACCCAAAGTGGGAGGAAAGCGGGTTGCGGCTGTGCTTAAGGACGGCACGAAGTTGTGTCCCGA